TATGCTCCTAGGGGTCGTTGAGACCAATTTTTTTTTTTTTTTTTTAACTCTATCTAAATTGTTTGCCCTACTCATATATCTCTTTTTAATTATCTTATTATGTTTTACATACAATGTTAAAAGGAATTGTAAAACAGTGACAATGGTTAAAATCAGAAGTAATAACCAGAGTGCATTGAGATCATCCCTGTGGTCTATTATTTTGACATTATTGACCACATTGGCCGTATTGTCTTTGGTCTGACTATTGTCAGAACCGAACCAACCCATGATGATGATTTTCTCTCAAAAATTGGTTTCTACAATGTTGGAGTTTTTTATTTTTATTTTATTTTTTTTTTAATTATTTGCTATTCATTTATTCTTTTCAATAAAAAAAAATTTTTTTTTTCTCATGGACACACATATCTATATACCCTTCCTTTTTTTTTTTTTTTTTACTCTTTAAAATTTCATCAATATAAATTTTTTTTTTTATATATATTTGATCAAAATGAAGGAAGAAAAAAAATGTTAAGGGACATGTGATCGATTTACAGGTTTTTCATTATATAATTCAACATCGATCACATGGTTTTAGTAATAGCCTAACAGAGGTTAGTATTTTCAAGTTTCACTTTAAGGGTGCTTCAACTCGAGATAGAAAATTATAATTATTGGCAATATGAGGCATGGCATTTCTGCAGCTCAATTGCGTTACTTCGCTCTTTTATTGGCGAAGTTGTTTATTGATTTCCTTGATGCGCTCTTGGCAGCGCTGTCGGTCCTCTTCATTTGTATATGTTTTTTCCAGGTCCCGCTCCAGACGTCGTTGTTGAAGCAGCCGTTTGATCCGGCCGCCCCTCTTTGTTTTCTTCCTGGGGCGTTTTTCTTGTCTTGCCCTGTACTCAGCTATTGTGAGTGGGCGTGGTCCATCGTTTGGATACACTTCTAAGGCCTCTTGTAGGCTGAGTGCGTCCCTTTGCTCGGTAGGAGCAGCGTCGGCGAAGTCTGGTGCATTTTCTGCTGCTGGAGTGTTTGTGTTACTGTCCATCGACGGTGCAAGGGGCGGTCCTATGCCACTCGCACTTATATTATTGGTCCTTGCTGGGTCTGGTGGGGGCCGGTGCTGGTCTTCGCACAGGTTTTTATATTGCGTGTACGCTCTTTGTAGCGCGGGCTGTTAAATCTCCTTGGGTATTATATATTCCTGGCCGCATTGTAGTCCCCAAGGTTAAGGGTATAAATTATAATGCAACATGGGTTTGTGCGTAATATCGTCGGCAGTCGTGCATTGGTCTGGCGAAACGGATGGTTTGGCTTTCTGCTGGGTTTTTTCCTTGGCACTGGCACTGGGGACAACACTATTTCAATACTTTTTCCAATTCATCAATTTTCTTTTGACTTGGTCCGATTTTTTTTTTTTAACAAAATCACATATTATTATATTTTTTTTCGGCCATTCTTTGTCTTTATTATTTTTGACACTTTTTTGAAAAAATTTTTCTCCTTTTTTTTTCAATCCTTAGATTGATCCATCGCGTAGGACATATATGGTCCTGTCACGGTCGCCATGTATGGTGTTTCTGTAATAGTCAATGGAGTTATTGTGTGCTTGGTTACTTTAGCTTTTTGGCATTTTGGACATTTTCGTATGTAATTAGTTATTTCTTTAGTCATACCTTTCCAAAAATAATGTCTTTTGACCTTGGCCAAGGTTTTTGTTATGCCTGTATGTCCTCCTTGTATGGGATCATCATGTAATGTAGACATTATTGCTTCTTTTTCTTTTTCATTTTTAATTAGGGTCACCGGGTTGAGTAGCGCTACTCTTATTGTTCGTAATATTTTATTGCCCATATTTTTAAAATTATCTATTGAAATGTATTCAAAGATATTTTCCCACGGTGCCACTTTGAGTTGGCTGATTTTTTGTTTACCGGCCTGCGTTTCAAGCCTTTGGAAAAACTGACCTAAGTCAAGGGTTCCATTAGTATACAAATCGCTAACATCATATCTTGCAGTAATTTTTTTTTCATGTTTGAAAAAACATAAATTATTATTTACATGCAAGGTCACTACTTTACGTACTTCGTCATTGTTGATGACTTCATATACGTTGGGCTTTGAAGCTTTTGTTAGAGATTGCCTAGGCAATTCTATTTGTTCTTTTCCTGCGCAGGATTTCTGTCTACTCTGTTGCCTGGTAGTGACTTTCAGGACTTTATTCGTATTTTGTATGTTTTTTAGGTCTGTGATGGTTATTCCTGATAACGCATCTGCTACATGATTATCTTTACCCTTTAGATACTCGACTGTAAAGTCGTATTCTTCTAATTCGAGCCGCATGCGTGTGAGTTTTGATCTGGGATTGACCATTGAAAATAGGTATGTTAGTGGTCTGTGATCCGTTTTTACTGTAAAGTGTTTACCATAGATATATGGTCGAAAATGGGTAATTGCCCAATGAATTGCTGCTAATTCCTGTTCTGTAGTACTTTTGTTACTTTCACCTTTTGTGAATGATCGTGATGCATATGCTAATGGGAGTTGGAGTCCGCTATGGTTTTGAGTTAAAACCGCTCCACATGCTTGTTTACTAGCATCGGTGATTATGCAAAATTCTTTCTGAAAATCTGGGTACTGTAACAGAGTGGGTTCCATAAGTTTATCTTTTAAATATTGGAATGCATTTTGACATTCAGTTGACCACTCAAAGGGGACATTCTTTTTACATAATCTAGTTATGTGCCGGGAATAGTCGGCGAAGTTTTTAATAAAACGTCTATAATAATTGCAAAATGCAATAAATCGTCTAGCGCTGTCCGCATCATGTGGGACTGGATAGTTTTTGCTCTTTGCCTTTATAGGGAATTCGTTTGTTTCTCGTTACAATTGTTTTTGGTTTATACTTTTGTTTATTTAGAATTTGCCTTAAACATCTCTATGGTTATTTTTGTGGACGCACCTCATCCATTATGGTCCGGTCCGAGACGGTTGTGCCTATCCTGTCCAGCCAGACTCGGACCGTACCGCAGTGCCACCGCCGGCCGTTCTCAGCGCGCAAGCCCCTTAGGGCGGAGGGCGACGAGGGGGCGCCGCTCACGAGAGCGTGCTGCTTGTGCTTTACCATCTGATGGACTGATGGACCGTATTGTCCATTGGCCATTGGCCGTGTTGGAAGTCGGCCTTGGCCTGACCCGGAGCTGGTGCTACCGATGCCCGTCTACCCACTGATGGCTAGGTCGGGGACGGAGAGGAGGCGGTTCCGTGTGGCACGGGGCTGAGGTGGGGACCTGGCGCGTCGGCGATTACACGAACGGGACACACACACCAATGCATTTTGAAGTTTTTATATTTTTTTTTGTACGATTTTTTTTTCAGAGTTTTTGCAGTTGTCCTGATACATTATCTACTAGGTCACATTTAGGTTAGTCTTCCTCAATCTCAATTTCTGTTTATAAAAATTATTTGTTGTGATTGATTCGGTTTCAAGCCCGAATACGTCACTAAAATTGGTACATAGTTTAGTTAATTGCTTCTTGAATTGTACTGGGAAATGTTTGCTTAATTCAGCTATGACAGTTTTTTCTCGGATTTTTTGAGTTGTTTGAATTACATTGTAATTCGAAAGTGGTTCATATTGTATGTTATTTATATGTACTAATTGGTTGGTACTGGTTGTATTCAGCAATCGGACAAATGTATTATTTTTTGAAGTTATTGTATTTGCTACATAAATACCAGGTTGAATTTCCTGGTTTGGGATCAATATGGTTTCTATATCGGACGTTAATTCTATTTTTCTGACAACTTGTGATCTTGCTGGTAGAAGAATTGTATTGTTACCAGAACTGTATGTTATTGGAACATAAATTTTAATTTTTATATTATTTGGTCGTATTATTAACCAATCGTCTGCAGGTTTTAAGTCTATTAGGCAGTTTAATTCTTTTATGAAATCAATGCCTATCATTCCATCACACGGAATTGCAAAATTTTGATTAACTAAATGGAAATTGTGTGGAATTATGTACTTATCCGTCTGTCGAGCGACATACGACATACGACATTCTTTTTACATAATCTAGTTATGTGCCGGGAATAGTCGGCGAAGTTTTTAATAAAACGTCTATAATAATTGCAAAATGCAATAAATCGTCTAGCGCTGTCCGCATCATGTGGGACTGGATAGTTTTTGATGACGTCATATTTCTTGTCATCTGGCAAGATTCCTTTATCTGTGCATTTATGACCAAGAAAGGTCACTTCATGCATAAAAAATGAACATTTTTGTGGATGTAATTTTAGGTTGTGTTTCGTACATATCTCAAAAATATCTGTTAAGTTTTTAAGCATATGTTTTTCGGAACAACCCATGACTATTAGATCGTCCATATACAGGAAGGCTTGCGAAGCTTCAAGTCCAGAGAAGGCTATAGTCATCATTCTTTGAAATGAATTCGGCGCTATTTTTAAACCAAATGGTAGTCGCGTGAAGCGATATGAGCCATTGCTCGTTGAAAAAGACGTTATATTTCGCGAACTTTCTTCTAGTTCGATTTGATGAAAACCTGACATTAAGTCAAGGCATGAGAAATACTTTGCTCTACCTAGTTGATCCAAAATGTCATCAATTCTAGGTAGTGGTAATTTGTCGGCCAGGAGTTTTTTGTTTATTTGACGATAGTCAACTACTAATCGCCATTTCTTTTGTTCTGAACCCGGAAGGGCTTTCTTTGGGACAAGTAGAAGTGGGCTGTTGTATTCTGATACGGATGGTTCGACAATATTGTCGTTGATTAATTTTCCTACTTGTTTTTTAATTTCCTCAACTTGGCTATGCGGACTTTGATAGTTCTTTATATATATAGGTTCGTCATCCCTCAATCTCAATTTCTGTTTATAAAAATTATTTGTTGTGATTGATTCGGTTTCAAGCCCGAATACGTCACTAAAATTGGTACATAGTTTAGTTAATTGCTTCTTGAATTGTACTGGGAAATGTTTGCTTAATTCAGGAGCAGAATCTAGTGGTGCGCCAGACCCTCTGGGAGCTACCCATCAGCTGCCCCAGCTGCAATGACCAGTTCTCAGATAGGAAAGATCTCTCCAGACACTTGGAGTTCGTTTGTGAGGGGCGTGTGGTTTGCTGCAAGTACCACTGCGTGGGCTGTTCTTGGAAGGGCCCCTACAAGGACAGCGTCTCACATGATTCCGACTGTGGGTTTCCCCAGAAGCAGGGAAAGGAGATCCTAGATATGCTGCATGTCGAGGACAGGGAGCTTGAGGCCCAAAAGCCCGTGTTGCAGCTCCATCGGGTGCTGAGTGCTAGCCGGGTGGAATTTTTCACCTTGAGAATGAAGTGGATACACCGCTCAGAGGGTTTACACCCACGGACCCTCGAGTCTGAGGTAAGGTTTTGGAGAACCAGAACTCGTCTGCAGCATACCTCTGATGATCTCTTATCCCGATCCCCACAGTCGATTCGTGCCTTTGTGGAGGATTGGGTGCTGCGTCTACGTCTGAAAAGAGCTGGGGAAAAAATCACCGTCAGCGGCCAGCTATTGCTTTCGACTACCCCACGAGTGTCCCTCATGGTTGACCATTTGATCCAGATGCCGCAGAGTGTCTGCAGCGCCAAGCAGCTGCACGACATACGCCCGCGTATCTACCGCCATATTTTCGATTCAACCGGCAAGTGCGCAAAGCGCCAGGAGCTTCCCTTGGCGGGACCTCAGGCCCTGTACCGGCTATTTGCCATGACCCGGATCCAGCTCCGTTTGTGGATGTTTTTGCATTATTGAGCTGACGCTAAAAACCTTTAAATTGTGGTTTAAACCTTTATTGGGCACATCTTTTGATTTGATTTTTAAATTCGTTGCTTTAGAGCTGCATTTTTAGGGTTTGGGCGCCTTCTGGATCTGCTCGTTCACAGCAAGACCTTCTTCAGCAGCAGCGTTGGCCTTATCATGGAAGTCGTGCAGAAGCAATCGAGTAAATTAGGCATACGTTTTTGTCTGGTCTGTTAAGGTCGGCTAGTGTCGGCTAGACTTACCTTAACGCTATCCTCGTTGAAAAATTCCTTGACCTTTGCCAGCAGGTCGTTGAGCTGAGCCTCAACTGGCTTGGTGGGCTCCTCACGAGGCACGGGAGCACACATGCACACCTGAAAGCAGAGTTACAGTAAAACCACAATCAGTCAAAGCAATCTTGGCTATTTTTATACCCGATACTCAAAATGAGTATTGGGTTATATTAGATTTGTGGTAAAAGTGGATGTGTGTAACGTCCAGAAGGAATCGTTTCCGATTCCGATAAAGTATATATATTCTTGATCAGCATCAATAGCCGAGTCGATTGAGCCATGTCTGTCTATCCGTCCGTCCGTCTGTCCGTCTGTCCGTCCCCTTCAGCGCCTAATGCTCAAAGACTATAAGAGCTAGAGCAACGATGTTTTGGATCCAGACTTCTGTGATATGTCACTGCTCCAAAAATATTTCAAAACTTTGCCCCGCCCATACACAATTTTAAAGATACGAGAAAATAAAAAACGAAGAATCGTAGAGAATGACCATATCTTTTAGAATGCAGAATCTGAATTGGATCGTATTATTATTATAGCCAGCATCAAGAAAAGAATTTAATTTTTTCTCGCCCTGTCTCTCTCTAACACACACGCATAGGCGGCTTTGCTTAGAGTAAAACAGTAGCGTCTAGATCTCAGAGACTATAAAAGCTAGAGCAAGCAAATTTGGTTTCCACACTCCTAATATATCGGACCGAGACGAGTTTGTTTCAAAATTTCGCCACACCCCCTTCCGCCCCCGCAAAGGACGAAAATCTGAGGCAACCACAAATCTCAGAGACTATTAAGGCTAGAATAACCAAATTTGGTACACACACTCCTTTAAGATGTCACTATAAAACGTATATCTCAGAATTTCGCCCCACCCCCTTCCGCCCACACAAAGGACGAAAATCTGTTGCATCCACAATATTGCAGATTTGAGAAAACTAAAAACGCAGAATCATAGATAACGACCATATCTATCAGATTGCTGAATCTGGATCATATCAGAACATTTTTGTAGCCAAAAGGAACAAATCAATTTGCATTGGCTACGCAGCGCCCGACGTCACGCTCAGACTGATTTTCTGTCTCTCTCGCACGCATTCTTTGTCGTGTCGTTTAATATTAGCGTCTGCCGGAGGAGAGCCATACTGACTTAGTATCGGGTATAACTGTAGAGTTGCGGTGTCCGCAGCAACTCACAACGTTCCCCCTCGTTTTTTTTTGTATTTGATCGCTGCTGAAGCGAATTTTTTTTGAGTAGCAAAACAGGAAGGAAATTAACGAATTAGATGTTATGCTTTTTTTGGGCGACGAAGAGTACAGCTGACCGACTTCCTCGAATAGGAACGACCGAGCACCCCAATCATCCTCTACGTCCGTCAATGGGCAAAGCAGGGGAGACCTTTCGTCTATTTCAAAAACTTTACGTCGATTTTCTAGGTCCGTACCCCCGAAGTCGATCCGGGAATATAGGCATTTTTGTAGTACTCGATCATTTTTCTAAATTTCCTTTCGTAACTCGGTTCATGGAGGAATGTTTAATTGCTGATAGTGTCAGATAACGGCGTTCAATTCAAGTCACACAAGTTCAAGGATCTGTTAGCGAAATACCAAATTCGACATTCGTACACCGCCGCCTACGCTCCCCAAACCAATGCCTCAGAGCGGGTAAATCGCTCGGTACTCGCTGCTATCAAAGCGTACATTAAGCCCGATCAATCCAGTGTGCATGCAGCCATCAAAAGTAGCCCATATCCTGTTGCTTTTGGCCAAAACATGATTACTGGCGGTTCAACTTATCAACTCCTACGAAACCTCAGTATGTTGGAGGACCGAACAGTAGTCTTTGATCGCGACGATTCCTTCGAGCTAATTCGCAAGACCGCTGCAGAAGCAATGAAACAGCAGCATGTTCGCAATGTAAATATCTATAATCTTCGAAGCCGAGAAGTAAACTTTCAAGTGGGTCAAGAAGTGTCTAGACGAAATTTTGACCAGAGTAGTTTTGTGAAAGGCATTAATGCGAAACTGGCACCTACGTTTCGGAAAGCTCGCATTAAGAAAAGATTTCCAGGGTCGCTTTATTGGTAAATATCACGCAAATAATATTAAACAATAAATCGTATCCAGCACTCCAAGTGTGGATCACGCTTTGGTTAGCAAGACCCCAAACTGTGATTTCAGCGGGGGGTGTAATATTCAACGCTTATCGTGTCTTCTTGTATTTTAATTATCCACGGCTAACTCCCAAAATTATAGCCTAAAACTAGGCCGTAAAAAAATTCGAGTTGAAGATCTTGTGAGCTTTGATAAAGCTTATCAACAGCTGTTTTGCGACCAAGCGGCAACGCTTTGATATACAATTTTTCTGCAATTGCCAGACCGCCGTTCTGGCTGTTGCCATCTTCAATAAAACGCGTGCCTGCTGCCCCAGTTGTCGATCGCTCATTAGAAACTACGATCAGGAGCAGAATCTAGTGGTGCGCCAGACCCTCTGGGAGCTACCCATCAGCTGCCCCAGCTGCAATGACCAGTTCTCAGATAGGAAAGATCTCTCCAGACACTTGGAGTTCGTTTGTGAGGGGCGTGTGGTTTGCTGCAAGTACCACTGCGTGGGCTGTTCTTGGAAGGGCCCCTACAAGGACAGCGTCTCACATGATTCCGACTGTGGGTTTCCCCAGAAGCAGGGAAAGGAGATCCTAGATATGCTGCATGTCGAGGACAGGGAGCTTGAGGCCCAAAAGCCCGTGTTGCAGCTCCATCGGGTGCTGAGTGCTAGCCGGGTGGAATTTTTCACCTTGAGAATGAAGTGGATACACCGCTCAGAGGGTTTACACCCACGGACCCTCGAGTCTGAGGTAAGGTTTTGGAGAACCAGAACTCGTCTGCAGCATACCTCTGATGATCTCTTATCCCGATCCCCACAGTCGATTCGTGCCTTTGAGGAGGATTGGGTGCTGCGTCTACGTCTGAAAAGAGCTGGGGAAAAAATCACCGTCAGCGGCCAGCTATTGCTTTCGACTACCCCACGAGTGTCCCTCATGGTTGACCATTTGATCCAGATGCCGCAGAGTGTCTGCAGCGCCAAGCAGCTGCACGACATACGCCCGCGTATCTACCGCCATATTTTCGATTCAACCGGCAAGTGCGCAAAGCGCCAGGAGCTTCCCTTGGCGGGACCTCAGGCCCTGTACCGGCTATTTGCCATGACCCGGATCCAGCTCCGTTTGTGGATGTTTTTGCATTATTGAGCTGACGCTAAAAACCTTTAAATTGTGGTTTAAACCTTTATTGGGCACATCTTTTGATTTGATTTTTAAATTCGTTGCTTTAGAGCTGCATTTTTAGGGTTTGGGCGCCTTCTGGATCTGCTCGTTCACAGCAAGACCTTCTTCAGCAGCAGCGTTGGCCTTATCATGGAAGTCGTGCAGAAGCAATCGAGTAAATTAGGCATACGTTTTTGTCTGGTCTGTTAAGGTCGCCTAGTGTCGGCTAGACTTACCTTAACGCTATCCTCGTTGAAAAATTCCTTGACCTTTGCCAGCAGGTCGTTGAGCTGAGCCTCAACTGGCTTGGTGGGCTCCTCACGAGGCACGGGAGCACACATGCACACCTGAAAGCAGAGTTACAGTAAAACCACAATCAGTCAAAGCAATCTTGGCTATTTTTATACCCGATACTCAAAATGAGTATTGGGGTATATTAGATTTGTGGTAAAAGTGGATGTGTGTAACGTCCAGAAGGAATCGTTTCCGATTCCGATAAAGTATATATATTCTTGATCAGCATCAATAGCCGAGTCGATTGAGCCATGTCTGTCTATCCGTCCGTCCGTCTGTCCGTCTGTCCGTCCCCTTCAGCGCCTAATGCTCAAAGACTATAAGAGCTAGAGCAACGATGTTTTGGATCCAGACTTCTGTGATATGTCACTGCTCCAAAAATATTTCAAAACTTTGCCCCGACCATACACAATTTTAAAGATACGAGAAAACAAAAAACGAAGAATCGTAGAGAATGACCATATCTTTTAGAATGCAGAATCTGAATTGGATCGTATTATTATTATAGCCAGCATCAAGAAAAGAATTTAATTTTTTCTCGCCCTGTCTCTCTCTAACACACACGCATAGGCGGCTTTGCTTAGAGTAAAACAGTAGCGTCTAGATCTCAGAGACTATAAAAGCTAGAGCAAGCAAATTTGGTTTCCACACTCCTAATATATCGGACCGAGACGAGTTTGTTTCAAAATTTCGCCACACCCCCTTCCGCCCCCGCAAAGGACGAAAATCTGAGGCAACCACAAATCTCAGAGACTATTAAGGCTAGAATAACCAAATTTGGTACACACACTCCTTTAAGATGTCACTATAAAACGTATATCTCAGAATTTCGCCCCACCCCCTTCCGCCCACACAAAGGACGAAAATCTGTTGCATCCACAATATTGCAGATTTGAGAAAACTAAAAACGCAGAATCATAGATAACGACCATATCTATCAGATTGCTGAATCTGGATCATATCAGATCATTTTTGTAGCCAAAAGGAACAAATCAATTTGCATTGGCTACGCAGCGCCCGACGTCACGCTCAGACTGATTTTCTGTCTCTCTCGCACGCATTCTTTGTCGTGTCGTTTAATATTAGCGTCTGCCGGAGGAGAGCCATACTGACTTAGTATCGGGTATAACTGTAGAGTTGCGGTGTCCGCAGCAACTCACAACGTTCCCCCTCGTTTTTTTTTTGTATTTGATCGCTGCTGAAGCGAATTTTTTTTGAGTAGCAAAACAGGAAGGAAATTAACGAATTAGATGTTATGCTTTTTTTGGGCGACGAAGAGTACAGCTGACCGACTTCCTCGAATAGGAACGACCGAGCACCCCAATCATCCTCTACGTCCGTCAATGGGCAAAGCAGGGGAGACCTTTCGTCTATTTCAAAAACTTTACGTCGATTTTCTAGGTCCGTACCCCCGAAGTCGATCCGGGAATATAGGCATTTTTGTAGTACTCGATCATTTTTCTAAATTTCCTTTCGTAACTCGGTTCATGGAGGAAGACCTGTTTAATTGCTGATAGTGTCAGATAACGGCGTTCAATTCAAGTCACACAAGTTCAAGGATCTGTTAGCGAAATACCAAATTCGACATTCGTACACCGCCGCCTACGCTCCCCAAACCAATGCCTCAGAGCGGGTAAATCGCTCGGTACTCGCTGCTATCAAAGCGTACATTAAGCCCGATCAATCCAGTGTGCATGCAGCCATCAAAAGTAGCCCATATCCTGTTGCTTTTGGCCAAAACATGATTACTGGCGGTTCAACTTATCAACTCCTACGAAACCTCAGTATGTTGGAGGACCGAACAGTAGTCTTCGATCGCGACGATTCCTTCGAGCTAATTCGCAAGACCGCTGCAGAAGCAATGAAACAGCAGCATGTTCGCAATGAAAATATCTATAATCTTCGAAGCCGAGAAGTAAACTTTCAAGTGGGTCAAGAAGTGTCTAGACGAAATTTTGACCAGAGTAGTTTTGTGAAAGGCATTAATGCGAAACTGGTACCTACGTTTCGGAAAGCTCGCATTAAGAAAAGATTTCCAGGGTCGCTTTATTGGTAAATATCACGCAAATAATATTAAACAATAAATCGTATCCAGCACTCCAAGTGTGGATCACGCTTTGGTTAGCAAGACCCCAAACTGTGATTTCAGCGGGGGGTGTAATATTCGACGCTTATCGTGTCTTCTTGTATTTTAATTATCCACGGCTAACTCCCAAAATTATAGCCTAAAACTAGGCCGTAAAAAAATTCGAGTTGAAGATCTTGTGAGCTTTGATAAAGCTTATCAACAGCTGTTTTGCGACCAAGCGGCAACGCTTTGATATGCAATTTTTCTGCAATTGCCAGACCGCCGTTCTGGCTGTTGCCATCTTCAATAAAACGCGTGCCTGCTGCCCCAGTTGTCGATCGCTCATTAGAAACTACGATTAGGAGCAGAATCTAGTGGTGCGCCAGCCCCTCTGGGAGCTACCCATCAGCTGCCCCAGCTGCAATGACCAGTTCTCAGATAGGAAAGATCTCTCCAGACACTTGGAGTTCGTTTGTGAGGGGCGTGTGGTTTGCTGGAAGTACCACTGCGTGGGCTGTTCTTGGAAGGGCTCCTACAAGGACAGCGTCTCACATGATTCCGACTGTGGGTTTCCCCAGAATCAGGGAAAGGAGATCCTAGATATGCTGCATGTCGAGGACAGGGAGCTTGAGGCCCAAAAGCCCGTGTTGCAGCTCCATCGGGTGCTGAGTGCTAGCCGGGTGGAATTTTTCACCTTGAGAATGAAGTGGATACACCGCTCAGAGGGTTTACACCCACGGACCCTCGAGTCTGAGGTAAGGTTTTGGAAAACCAGAACTCGTCTGCAGCATACCTCTGATGATCTCTTATCCCGATCCCCACAGACGATTCGTGCCTTTGAGGAGGATTGGGTGCTGCGTCTACGTCTGAAAAGAGCTGGGGAAAAAATCACCGTCAGCGGCCAGCTATTGCTTTCGACTACCCCACGAGTGTCCCTCATGGTTGAGGGAAAGTTACTACCGCGGTAGACTTGTCCTTGTCTGGTGTACAATATTGAACTTGCGCTACCAGTCATCTCTGTACTACACTGTATATATTTTGCTACGGCATCATTCATTGTTGGGAATGTGCCTGCTTCTAGTATTGTTTTGAGTCTGCCGTGCTCGCAATTTTTAACCATTGTACTAATGGCCTCTTTGCAGCTGAACTTATCGGCGTGTTCCGCTGGCAAACCCTCATCAATGTATGATGCTTCTAGAAGTTTTCTCATATCATCAATCTCTGTTGTGAATTGGGCGGCTGTTTTGCCTTTTTGGCATACTTTTGCCATTTTAGCCTTTATAACATCTGATGACTCTCCGACAATAGTGTCTTGCAATTTCTTTATTATTGCGCTAATGGTGGTTTCATCTTGTATTTTATACAATGTAGTTCCTATTACTTTTGATTTAATTACTTCTATAGCTAAATTTTCGTATGGTCCTTTCGTTAGATCGACCAATTTGATTGCCGTAATGAATCTTTGTAAATGGAATTTCTGTCCATTAAATTCCGGAATGGCGTGCGAAATATCTTTGATATATGCCCGTTGGGCAATTGTTTCGTCTGCCATTGTGGTTGGTTCTTGCCCAACCACGCTGTTTGCTGAACTAGTCGACGGTTTGTCGTCGTTCACCGGATGGTTCGATCTATTTGATCGAGAATCGTCTTCCGATATAATGATAATATTTTTTACATTCGGGGGCCTGGGACTTATTGGCCTTGATTCCGATTCTACAGCTGGTATATATGTCGCAGCTGTGTTTAGAAGATTTGGGATGTGTATGTCTAGATTGAATTTTTCTTTAACGAATACTAATCGTTCCCTTAGACGTTTGAAGACGTCTGTAGATTGAAACCAATGTATATCAGT